TGAGAAGCACCAACGGAACAACGGGTTGGCAGAATGCTTAGCAACAAGGTAAGACCCTGGCCTCCCAGCATAGCAGTGTGCCCTGCAGTGAAGAGAATCTGTACCGGGCTGTCAGCCTCCAGCAAACAAACAGGAGGTGACAAGCCAAGTCAACCCAATCAAGAAGAACCGCCACATTTTGCAACTCTGGAGAATCTTCACCTGGCCTTGGCACTGTAGCACTCCAGAGTGTCCCAATCTTTGAGCTGTCGGCCGTTGTAGATCAGGCGCATGTGCTCAGGCTCGATGTTGCATTGCTCCTTGGCCAACTTCTTCACGTCACCTCAGACACTGTCATTGTGCAAAGTCCAAGGGAGAAAAAATAAGACAGAGTATATCCAGCTAAAGGTGGAAAGAAGCAGCCAAAACACTGGAAGAATGTCAAACAAGAATGCCAAGACAGAAAGAAGACTTCCATCCACCCATTCGCACACCACAAGAACAACAAATCAGTCAAAAACTATCTCGAGGCGGCGTGGCTACTGGGCTTGTGGGAAACGAGAAGAAAAGGAGTAAAAGCTGCTGCCCAGGTGCGGACCCGGGTCTCCAGGGGCAATTGAAGCTCGAAGGTCTCCAAGCCCGGCACACGGAAGGCCACCATGCTGGTGCTCTCCACCTGTCCAAAAAAATGTTCTTGTGCTTGAGAGTAGCAACTACTAGGAGTAACCTGTTGGCGTAAATAGTAGATGGTCGTTGGGACGACTTTTGGACCTTTTTCTCTTTTCTTAGGTAGGAGATGGTAGGAGTATGTAGTACGGTCCCATCAACAGAAAAAACGACCCACCAAAATGAACCAAGTGCGTTTCAATTTGTACAGTAGATTAGCTAACCAGCCCGTCAGCTCTGCGGTGTGTTTTTCATCCCAAAGCTCCACACTTCACCTCAGGCTCTTTGAGACTCAGCTCTTGCATCGACTCAACAAGGGCGGTTGCCATGGCGTTTGAGATGTTTGGTTTCCTGGCAGCGTGTTGTTCTCCCCTTGATGCAAAAGAGAGGCAGAGGGGAACAAAGCCGAGACAATCGGACAAAGCCAGCAAAGCCCACTTAGGTTCAGCTTATTTCACCAAGAAGTCCCACTATATGTATTTTTGTCAGACCTACTTTTCTGAAAAAGATTGTACTGATTCCAGCAAAAAAAATAGAAAAACGATTCAAGATTTGACCATTAAAACCGTAAATTCCCCCAGGAGACAAACTACGAGCTCAACTCTTCGAGCTTTAGGAATAGGCTCAGCTTGACCCAATTCAATGTGAGAAAGGCATCAGGTCATATTTGCTTTTTCCTTCGCAGGTGCAGCTTCTTCACATCATGTTCTCGGTCAATCACTACGTCGCTCAGCGGTACTTCACGAAGCCAATCTCCTCGGCCTTCTCACGGAACTCCTGGCGCTTCATCATGATGCCATACCTCACACGACAAAACGACATCTGCCTGGACTTCTGCACATCATTCTCTTGATACATCTTGTGCCTGATGCCGCAATGTTGAAACTCTTGAATTGGTCGTGTCCAATCGATTGAAAATTGGCAGACCTCTCGTGCTTGTTTGGCCAGAATGCTTGCGGATCAACGCCATGCCGCCAGGGCGGCCAGAGACGCGTGAGCTGCGAAGGCCCTG